ACATCAGAAATTTAGTTTCTCTCAGTTCCTGAGGCTCTAAGTCCAAGATTAAAGAACCTGGCATGGCCATGTTATGAAGTATATGTCCCTTCGTAAACTGTGTGAGGCCTTTTTGTACACAGGAGTGGAATCGCTGGGTCATAGACGTACACTTTATTTGACCAAGTAATGACAGCTTGCTCTCCCAGCAGGAGAGGATACTTCCTTGCCTCTTCCAGCTTCCGGTGGCCTCATGTTCTTTAGCTTCTGGCATAATGACCGCAATCTCTGCCTCCATCTTCACATGACTGCCTTCCTTCTGTCTTTGTCTCTGTTTGCTTATTTTTATTTTTATTTTTATTTTTGAGACTGAGTCTCACTCTGTCGCCCAGGCTGGAGTGCAGTGGCACAATCTTGGCTCACTGCAACCTCCACTTCCCAGGTTCAAGCGATTCTCTTGCCTCAGCCTCCCGAGTAGCTGGGATTAAAGGTGCCTGCCACCACGCACAGCTAATTTTTGTATTTTTAGTAGAGACGGGGTTTCACCATGCTGGCCAGGGTGGTCTCAAACTCCTAACCTCAAGTGATCCGTCCACCTCGGCCTCCCAAAGTGCTGGGATTACAGGTGGGAGCCACCTCGACGGGATGTCTCCCTTCCCTCCCCTCCCCCCTCCACCCTCTCTCTCCCCTCTCTACCTCTCTCCTCTTTCTCTCTCCCCTCCCTCTCTCCCTTCCCTCCCTCCCCACTCCTGCCTCGTCTTCCCCTCCTTTCTCCCTTCCCCTCACCCCGACTCCTCCCTTCCCCACTCCCCCTCCTCTTCCCCTTCCCCTCCCTCTTACCACCTCCCTTTCCCTCCCTTACCTTCCTTTCCCTTCCTTCCCCCTTCCCTGTTCCCTTCCTTTCCTTCGCCTCCCTTTGCAGAGTTTTGCTCTTGTCACCCAGGCTCAAGTGCAATGGCTCGATCTCGCTCACTGCAACCCACCCTCCCAGGTTCAAGCGATTCTCCCTGCTCCAGCCTCCTGAGTAGCTGGGATTACAGGCACCCGCCACCATGCCCGGCTAATTTTTGTAGTTTTAGTAAAGACGGGATTTTAGCATGTTGGCCAGGCTGGTCTCGAACTCCTGACCTCTGGCGATCTGCCCGCCTTGACCTCCCAAAGTGTTGGCATTACAGGTGGGAGCCACCAAACCCAGCCTATTTTCTTGTAACAGCAAATATATTGAAGAGGGTCTGCCCTGAATTGAGTAGGACCTCATCCTACTTGATTACATCTACAAAGACCCCATTCTAATTAAGGTCATATTCACAAGTACTGGAGGTTGTAATTTCTACCTGTCTTTTTGAGGAACACAATTCAACCCCCAATAAAGAACAGCAGGAACTATTTGTAAAATGTAGTTTCTAGAGCTGAGCATGGTGGTGAGCACCTGTAGTCCCACCTACTCAGGAGGCTGAGGCAGGAGGATTGCTTCAGCCGTGGAGTTTAGGACAAGTCTGAGAAACATAGTAACAACCCCTCTTTAAATTTTTTTTTTTTTAATTAGCCAGGCGTAGTGTCATGCACCTGCAGTCCCCGCACTTTGGGAGGCCAAGGTGGGAGAATTGCTTGAGGGTACGAGTTCAAGACCAGCCTGGGCAACATAGCAAGACCCTGCCTCTACCAAAAAAATGTTTTTTTACTTAGCTGGGCATGTAGCCCCTGTAATCCTAGCTACTTGGGAGACTGAGGCAGGAGGATCACTTGAGCCCAGGCATTTGAGGTTATAGTGAGCTATGATCGTGCCACTGCACCATAGCCTGGGCAACAGAGTGAGGTGCTGTCTCTTAGAAAAGAAGTTTTTTGTAAAAAAAAACAAAAACAAAAGAAAACAATATATTATATTCAATAACATGCAGGTAGGTAACTTTAAAATACACTTACTCCAAAACTTATGTTTCAGAATTTATAAAATTCAGCTAAAGGAGTTCTTAGAGGAAAATTTATAGATTAATAGTTTAAATACTTTTACTTAAAACAAAAAAAGGTTAAAATCATAGGTTTAGCTTCCACCATAAGAAACAAAAAGAAAGTAAATTAAACCTAAAGTGAGCAGAAGAAAGGAAATGATGAAGATAACAATGAAAATCAGTGAAACAAACAAGTGGAAAAACAATTGTAGTAATTAATAAAATCATGAGCTGGTTCTTTGAAAAGATAGGTAAAATTAATAAACATCTAGCTGGACTAGGGAAAAAAGGAGAGGACACAAATTACCAAAATCAGACATGAAAGGACACAACAAGGAAAACAATTAACAGAGTGAGAGAAAATGTCGAAAACCATAGATCCAATAAAGGGTCACTATCCTATTCTAAATATGTAAAGAAAACAACTCATAGCAAAATCAACACGTCCTAAAAGGGGGCCAACGGCACCAGGCGTGCTGGTTCACACCTGTAATCCCAGTGCTTTGGGAGGATGAGACAGAATTGCTTGAGGCCAGGAGTTATGAAAAGCCTGGACAGCATAGAAAGACCTTGTCTCTACAGAAAAGTTTTAAATTTGCCAGGTGTGGTGACATAGGCTTGTAGTCCCAGCTACCTGTGAAGCAGAGGTAGGAGGATCACTTGAGCCAGGAGTTAGAGGTTGCAGTGAGCCCTGATTGCAGCACTGCAGTACAGTCTGGGCAGCAGCTTGGCAGTCTGACACCCTGACTCTTAAAAAAAAAAAAAAAATCATTTATCAAAAGATGGCATACAAATGATCAACAGGTTCATAAAAATGCTCAATATTGGCCGGGTGCAGTGGCTCATGCCTGTAATCCCAGCACTTCAGGAGGCCAAGGTGGGCAGATACCTGAGGTAGGGAGTTCGAGACCAGCCTGACCAACATGGAGAAACCCCGTCTCTACTAAAAATTCCCCAGAGGCTGGGGAATAAGGGGGTGGGGGTGGGAGAGAGAATGGGGAGATGAAGATGTTGGTCTTGGGGTACAAAGTTACAGTTAAACAGGAGGAATACAATTTTGAGATTTATTGCACAGCATAGTGACTATAGTTAATAATAATTTATTGTATATTTCAAAATTTCTAGGAGAGTAAGTTGAAAATATCTTGCCACAAAAACAATGATAAGTGGGCTAGGTGCAGTGGCTCATACCTGTAATCCTAGCACTTTGGAAGGCTGTGGCAAGAGGATCACTTGTAGGCGAGGAGTTCAAGACCAGCCTGGGCAACATAGCAAGACCCTGTCTCTACAAAAACTTTTTTGAAAAATTAGCCAAGCATGGTGGTTCCTGCCTGTAGTCCCAGCTACTCAGGAGGCTGAGGTGGGAAAACTGCTTGAACCTGGGAGGTCGAGACTGCAGTGAGCCATGATTGCACCACTGCATTTTAATTTGGGCAACCAAGTGAGATTCCATCTCTAAAAAAACCAAAAAGATGGCTGGGCAAGGTGGCTCACACCTGTAATCCCAGCACTTTGGGAGGCTGAGGCGGGTGGATTACCCGGGGTCAGGAGTTTGAGACCAGCCTGGCCAACACGGCAAAACCCTGTCACAACTAAGAACACTAAAAATTAACCGGGCATGGTAGCAGGCGCCTGTAATCCCAGCGATTTGGGAAGCTGATGCAGGAGAATTGCTGGAACCTGGGAGACTGAGGTTGCAGTGAGCCAAGATTGTGCCATTGCACTCCAGCCTGAGTGACAGAGTGAGACTCTGTCTCAAAACAAAATAAAAAACAATAAAAAAAGGACAAATAGATAAAGCTAGCCAGGCACAGTGACTCATGCCTGTAATCCCAGCACTTTGGGACGC